TCATGGCCTGACCAGACCATGTGGAGGGTGCTCAACTCTCTCTTTTACTCTGTCTCTCCCTGGCATATGTGTGTGCATGTGCTCTATCAAGAAAAAAGAAAAAAATTTGCAAGGGACATAAGATTGAAAAAATAACAATTTCCAGTTTACATTGCATTGCATTTTATTTAAACTGGAAATGATTTTTTTTTTGCATCACATGAAATAAGTTTTTTTTTTTTTTTTATTTAAATGATACATTAAGGGAGTCAAATGGTGCAAAGGTAAAACACAATGCTCTGCAAAGCAATCCTCCATGGAAGGTTGCTGGTTCAAGGCTGGAGACCTCTCTGACTACTCAAGGGACACACTTTCTCTTTATCTAGGGAACTGGAGGCTTACGGTAGATGACAATTTCAAGTCACCATTAGGAGTACAGTCTCGTTCTCTCTGTTCCTGTCTCTCTCTCTGCCTCTTTGCTCGTTGAAGAAACAGATAAATAAACTCTTCGTTTTGTTTTGTTTTAGGTTTTGCCATAGGGTGCGTGCACTCACAGAGACAGACAGAGAAAGGAAAGTGAGAAATCACCCCCAGAGTGTATGGCCATGCCACAGTCCCTTCTCCTCCCTTCTCCTCTTGGAATTCTGGGCACTCACACACATGCACCTGGCGAGATTTTCAAGCTTCAGTAGGCCATGTGGGAGTCCAGACTTCTTAACCACCACACCTCCTGCTGGCCCCCATAAATACGCTCTTAAAAGCTAACAAATATGTGTATATATCATATGTATTGAGTGTAAAATGCTTATGTATGTGTGCTGTGTTGTATTTTTTTGTTCATTTGGGGTTTTTTTTTTCTACTGTTTTGTTTTCCTTTTTATGTAAGAAAGTAAACATAAAGTGGTTATTAAAGGAAACAAACAGTAGATGTTTGATAGGTTTTCCTCCACATTCTATATTTTTCTTCCATATTAAAACAAAAAATTCTACTCAGATTTTTCAAATGTTTTATAAAATATTTTATATAATTTTATATAATGGAAGGTTGCTGGTTCAAGGCTGGAGACCTCTCTGACTACTCAAGGGACACACTTTCTCTTTATCTAGGGATATATTTTATATAAAATATTTTATATAAAATACCTACAAAGAAAAACCTATAAGTGGCTGATAATAAAATAAAGAGGTCCAATAATTTTATAAAAGTATTTCAGTTTCAAATAATATAGTACAAAACATCTCTTGAATTTATCTGTGAACTTTATTGTCTCTAAATATGAATTATGCAAAGCTCTCCAGTAACAATTCTTCTCTAATATTTATCGACTCTAATATAAAGGCCCCTGTAGTAAATAAGACTTAGTTTTGACTTTCAATAATCATTAACATTAATTAAACACAGTATTTTTCAAAAGAATTTTCTAAATTCCTGGAAAAAAAAAAACCTTTATTTAAGAGACTGTGATTTTTCAGGACCAGCAGTTAGCGTAATGGCTATGTCGCTGGACTCCCATACAGTTGACCGCAGTTTTCGTCCGAGACTCGACGGCTTAAAACTCATGCTGGGCGCATGTGCGCACGTGCCTAAGATCCCAAACGAAGAATGGAGAAGGGACTGCGGCGTGGCCATCCCCCCTGGGGGGTGATTTCTCGCTTTCTGTCTCTCTGTCTCTCTCTGTCTGGCAAGCATACACGTCCTATAGCAAAAACCTCTTCCAGAAAAAAAAAAAGAAAAAGAGACTGTGATATTTACTTAATATAAATTATCCACTGAAGGATGCTAAGTAAATTCTTATTATTACTGAAAAGGTGTCTTTTGAATGTGTATAATTTTTTATTTTCTAAAAAACAAGCATTACTTAATGTTTAAATTCCACGTTAAAAGAGAGAATTTCATTATAAAATAAATGCTTTCTTTTTACTCACTCAAAAATGCTCTAATCCTTTCTCATGTTAAAAAAGAAGCCAGATAAAAATTTCCGTACATGTGAAAGAAATCACTTATTCACTTATTAAAGCATTAAAACATTGTTTTGTTTTTAAGAAAAAAAAAAAAAAAAAAGAGAAAAAAAGCCAATAGGGCCAGCAGGTGGCGTGGTGGTGAAGGTACTGGACTCACACATGGCCGAACACAGCTCGAGTCCCAGACCTGGCAGCTTGCTTTCTTACTTTCCCTTTCTCTCTCTCACTCTCTCTTTATTGTGAGTACACGTACCGTATAGCATATTTAAATAATAATAATAAATAAAATAAATGTTTTTTTTACACATGGCCGAACACAGCTCGAGTCCCAGACCTGGCAGCTTGCTTTCTTACTTTCCCTTTCTCTCTCTCACTCTCTCTTTATTGTGAGTACACGTACCGTATAGCATATTTAAATAATAATAATAAATAAAATAAATGTTTTTTTTTTAAAAAAGAAAACAAAGCCAGCAGACACTTTACTTAGCCTAACACGTTAACCTGTTGCTGCCCATTTTTCACAATACCATTTACACAGCATAACAACATTTCAGCCAATGAACCACAGACATGGCCGTCTCATAAAGAGTTTAAAAGCTCTATCATAGCCTAGGTGTACAGCAGGACACACATCAGGGTTTGTCAAATGTAGATGTGATGTTGTACAACTACGAAATCACCCTCTGACACATTTCCCAGAATGCACTGCCATCATTAAGTGGCACATGATGTGGAGCAAGAAATGACAACAGCTGCTTCAGATTTAGGGTACCTCGCAGACAGGCTGTGTGTGACGCTGCCTCACAATGACAGCGGAGGAAATTCACTGGAAGGCGAAGAAACATTCAATCTAGCCAGAAGCCATAACAAATAACAGAAGATTTTTTTTTTTACTTTATATGAAGAAAAGAAAATCAAAATCAAAATTATTTGAGTGACCTCAAACATAGAATGCAGTTGAACACTGAACATTGCCTAAGTGGGTTATTACCTGTCTAGAGAAAGCGTTATGGTTTCATTCATTTCCGGTATGTCATCACCTTTGACAGTAATGTTGATTGTTGTGTCACTTTGCCCAGATAAAAACAAAACGGAGCCATTGAAGGGACCTATATCGTCCAGGGTCACTGCTTTTGAATTAAAGCCAGAAGGCTTCAAACTCCAATAGACGGTGGCCTGGCCATCAGTTCCATCCCGATGTAAGGGAATACATACCTAAGGAAAAGAAAAAACAGAACAATTACTTCTAAAATATATGCTAACAAATTACATAAGTGTTGCAGTTCGTGAATGCACAAGCTATGTGAAGATATGTATTCTACTGGGTTGTCGGAAACGTCATGACATATTTTGCTTTTCTATGCAAAGATGCATCATGACTTTTCCAATGACCCAATATACAGAGAAACTGAACTATTAAATGGCACAAGAGACATAATTGAGCAAGCCTTCTCCCTAAGCATAAAATAACTTTAGATAAAAGTAATGTAGTAATTGTTGCTAATCCAAGTTATCAACAAAATTATCCCCCTCCCAAATATACATCTAACCTGGGATGTGTCTTACTAAAAAGACGAGTCGTTTCTAAGAATTATGTATTTTAATTTTATTTAGCATTGTTATTACTTTTAAATTTGCTATAGGACATGCATGCTCACCAGAGATAGAGAGAGAAAGAGAAAGTGAGAAAACAAGTCACCAGGGGAACCAGCAGTTAGCATAATGGCTATTTCTCGCTTTCTTTCTCTCTGTCTCTCTCTGTCTTTCTGGCAAGCACACGCGCCCAATAAGAAACCTCTCGAAAGAAAAAAAAAAAAAAAAAAAAAAAAAAAAAAACAAGCCACCAGGTCCAGGACTTGAAGTTGGGCATGTGGGAGTCCAATACCTTAGCCACCACGCCACCTGCTGGCCCCAGAAAACAAGTATTATAAGAACCAAAAAAAAAAAAAAGAAAAACATTTAAAAAGCTTGCTAAAAATCAAAATTTCTATCAGAGGTTCTCTGAAAAATAATTAATATCACAACATAAACTGAAAATAAAGTTTCATAGTCATACTGGATATTCGATGAATTCCCACACTGTCGACAGCAGTTTGAGTCCCAGAACCAGTGGCTTACACTCATGCCAGGTGTGTGTGTGTGCCCAAAATCCCAAGAGGAGAATGGAGGTGAAGGGACTACTATGTGGTCTTCCCCCACCCAGAGGGTGATTTCTCTCTTTCTTTTTTTTTTTTTTTTTTTTTTTTTTTTAAGGTTTTTTTTGCTATAGGGCGCGTGTGCTCGCCAGACTGACAGAGACAGACAGAGAAACAGAAAGTGAGAAGTCACCCCCCGGGGGGGATGGCCACGCCGCAATCCCTTCTCCTCCGTTCTCCTCTCGGGATCTTGGGCAAGCACACACAAGCACCCAGCGTGAGTTTTAAGCCACCGGGTCCGGGATGCAAACCGCGGCCGACTACATGGGAGTCCAGCGACATAGCCATAATGCTAACTGCTGGTCCCTCTCTTTCTGTTTCTCTCTCTCTGGCGACTGCACACACTCTAAAGCAAAAAAAAACCTCTCTTAAAAAGAAAAAAAAAAAAAAAACTGGAGATGATATGTTATGTACAAGAGCATCCTAAAGTGATAGGGGTAAAACAAAGTGTCTCTAACCAACACAGTAAGCACACAGAAACACCGTCAGAAACTCCTATCATGACTCTGGATTACCTTGGGCACATGACTTAACCTCTCTATCCCAGTGATTCCATAGTTTGCAAGTTTGTGGTGAGGATTAGAGATCCTCTAAGTGAAGTCTCTAGAACAGCCCCTCTCTATAGCAAAAGTTAAATACATGAAAGCTGCTATAATAACTCCGAAAAAATTGGATTCAGTAGTTTAACTCAAGCACAGTACATTTTAAATATATACCAAAAAAGATCACTAGAGATCATGATAAAATTTTTTCAAATAAAGAATATAAACGAATATCTAAAGGTAGATATGCTATTCTTCTTATACTCCTAAAAGAGGTATCTTGGGTTTTTTTTTTTTTTCTTTGCCCTTTAACATACCCCATCTTGAAAAAAAAAAAATTAAAAAGTTACTAGGGCTAGCAGGTGGCATGGTGGTTAAGGCACTGGATTCCCACGTGGTCAACTGCGGTTTCAGTACTGGACCTGGAGGCTTGAGAATCACACTAGGCACGTGTGCATGTGTGTCCAAAATCCCAAGACAAAACTGAAGAAGGAGTTGTGGTGGGACCATCCCTCTTGTGGAGTGATTTCTTATTTTCCTTCTCTGCCTGTCTCCTGTGAGCACATGCTCCCTAAGGCAAAAACATGGGAGGCGGGGGGTAAAGATATTTTTACCAGTAACCATTTGCTACTTTAGCTAGCAATGCTCATAACTCAAGATGACAGAAGAAACTCAGATGCTTAAGGAAGACAAAAAAGTAACAGGGGGCTGTGCCCTAAATCACCCTGACAAAACGCATAGTGGCTGGACATGAACAAAGAGAACGAAGGGAAATTCCTACTTTTTCTGCTGTTTCCCAAACAAGGAAGAATGCAAGTCCATGGAGCCCATAATTTCTCCTAAAAGCTAATTTCCCTCCAGGGAAAAATATAAAATGATAAATGTGCAGCACTGTAAGATAAACAAGTAAAAACAATTCCATCTTTAAGAACAAAGTAAGTACTCTCTAGCTTTTAGAAAGAAACAGTGCATTAAGAAAAATATGAAAAATCAAAAACCATCTAAAATGAAGCTTCTCTTCAAAACCTCATGAGTGGGTGGAAAAACTGTGGCACACATATACTATGGAATATTAATTAGCCATAAGAGACAATGAGACATCATTTGATTCAAATCAGCAGAATACAGAATTAATGTTAAGTGAAGTGAGCCAGAATTTGAAAGATACACACTGTATATCTCCACTCAATATGTACCAAATGTCTGTACTTTATGGCAGAAATTGAAAGATCTGAAAATATGGTAGTAGAGAGGATAAGTGTAGATACCAGAGACTGAGAGAGAAGAGTTGATGGTAGAGTGTGGGTGGGAGGGGCAAAGGGAAGAAACTTTTAATAGACAAAAGGCAGTCAATTTCTCTGTTGGGAAAAAAACTGCTTTTTAAATTTTATTTATCTGGGTTTTTTTTTATTTGCTATAGGGCATGTAGACTCACCAGAGAGACAGAGAGAGAAAGAGAAAAGTGAAAAAGCAAATCACCATGTCCAGGACTCAAACTATGGTCAATCATGTTTGAGTCCAGCATCTTAACCACCACACTACCTGAAAAAAAAAAACCTCTGTAATTTTTGTTCTATACAAAATTAAAAAAATAAACAAGTATGTGCAAATGTTTAAAAAAAACTTCTCTACCCACATACAGAATCTTATAAACAAAAGGAAACTGCAGTCACCATATTCTGACATGAGCCTTTGATAACAACAGCTATCTTCATTCTAGATCTAAACCCCAACCCAATTTAAATCAAATGTAAAAGTAAAGAACTTGGACTCAGAGATAGGCCGTGGCTCAGACAGAATGGTAAGGCTGAAAAAGCCTTCCCTGGATAGACACAAGCTTGGGAAAAATTCAACCAGGGGGTATGGGGAGGAGGAAGCTATTTATATGAATATGCTTTAATTTCTTTATGTGTGAGTGTGTATGCAAATATGTACATATATGTATATAATAAAAAGTTTCTAGGATTCAGCATTCTATAACTTGACCACCACCACCTCCACCATCAAGCACAGGGTCCAAGGCAGTCACTCGGTCCTACCCAAGACAAGCCTATGAGTGCCAAGATGGGGTAAAACAGGACACCCATGGTACTGTGACTTGGCCATATAAAATAAATAAATAAATAAAAGATTTCCATTCGGCTATCACTGTGTCAAATGTCTTAGCACTACCTAAATGCAGTCACATAAAAACATCCTGGTCTCAGGGTAAGCAATTCTACCTTTATTCTATTGAATATAGCAAGAGATGATGGGAAAAATCCCACTCTCATCAATTATATCCAATTACACACTGAACGCTTAGTGTAAAAGGTAAAATTTTTTTAAGATCTGCTAACGCAGTATGCTAACAACTCCCTGTGTTTATGTATTACTTCAAACTCACTAGGCCCCATCAGTAAGAAACAACTCACCACTTCAGTAGCAGAATCTTCTGGTTCATGCAAAATGATTGGAAGATTGCTAATAAAGCCAATTTCTCCATTTGCAATGGCTGGAGTTACGAGTAAAGAAATATTTCGGATTTTCCCAAATCTAGGACTTACAGGTGGAATTAGGGGAATTATGTTCACCAACTCCACAGTCTCCAACTATAATAAAGAAACAAAAACAGGAAAAAATCGATAGCACAGAAAATTTTAAATTAGGACAAAAAGCCCTAATAGCATAGGACAACAAAGTAAACAGAGGTAAATGCCACCAAGAAATGTCAACTTCATTTTCTTCCTCTCTCATTCACCATTCCTTCCCAATCCCTGCACTGGCTTCTTGAGCTCTTTCTGTTCCTCAGTTACTATAATTACCCAGAATCCTTCTTAAATCCTTCGTTCTATAATTTCATGCACTCTCCTTAATAATCTGTGGATCTCTCCTTCAAATCTCAAATCATTATTACTGGCTATCACATAACTATCACACAAACCACAGTAAATTCACAAAGAGATAAGCTAATACTACTACTTAAACCATCAAAGAAAGAAACTCAATATAGTTGTACTCAAAACTATCTAAATAGAAAAGAAGAAAATAAGTCCTTTTATTGCATGGTTAAGACACCTGGGTCCCACATAGCTGACTGCATGGTTCAAGTCCCAGACCCTGTGGCTTGAAAAACACAAAGGGATTGTGTGAATGCGTGTGTGTGCATGTGCATGCCCAAAGTCCCAAGGAGAATGGAGAAGGGACTGGGGCTTGGTCATCCCCCTGAGCAGGTGATTTCTCCTTTCTCTGCCTCTCTCCAACGAATGCACATGCCTTATAGCAAATCTTTTTAAAATGCTAATTTTACATGATTCATTTCCCAGTATAATATGTAACCCTTTTGTCTGGGTTCCTGAAGCACCTGCTAAATCAAATGCCCCATTAATTCAAAAAGAATCATCCTTTGCTTTCAGATCATTTGCAACTAGGACCGCACATGAGTAGCCGCATGCCTGCTAAAAGATGTATTGGGTTATTGGAAAATCATGACGCATTTTTGAATTGGAAAAAAAAAAACATATCATGACTTTTCCAACAACCCAATATCTCACATTAATGGGTCTAGTGAAGAGAGTTACTAAAGAATGAGGAGTTCATATCTCAGATTCTCCTGTCTTCAGTTTCATTCAACTTTCCATGATGCTCCCATTCTTGAGCTGCTCATCCATTATGTACAATAGAAACTACAGTCTTATTCCACCAGCCTTCCAGAGACTACACCTGTTTGGTACCATACCTCAAAGAATTGTCAGTGACTGATAATGCCTTTTCTTTTTCTAACAAGTCTAAAAGTAACTGTGTGCATTGTTACAATCATAGTGTGTGTGTGTGTGTGTGTGTGTGTGTGTGTGTGTGTGCTTTAACTGAATAGAGGGATATATAAGAATTAAGTCTGGAATAAGTGGTGCAAACAACTTTCTAACCTAGGCTTACTAAAAATCAGGTATGATGTCCTTCTTCAAGTTTTTTCTTAGTTTTCAAGTGTCATCAGAAATAACTTCTGGGGGACAAGCAGTTGGCATAATGGCTATGTCACTGGACTCCCATGTAGTCGACTGCGGTTTGAGTCCCAGACCTGGTGGCTAAAACTCACACTGGGTGCGTGTGTGAGAGGAGAATAGAGGAGAAGGGATTGCAGCGTGGCCATCCTCCATGAGGGGTGATTTCTCCCTTCCTGTCTCTCTGTCCTTCTCTGTCTTTCTGGCAAGCACACGCACCCTATAGCAAAAACCTCTCCAATAAAAAACTTCAGGGATCAGCAGGTGGTGTAGTAGTTAAGGTGCTAGACTCTCACATGATCAACCATGGTTCAAATCTCAGATCTGGTGGCTTGAAAATTACACAGCATATGTGTGTGTGCATGCCCAAAATCCTGAGAAGGGAATGAAGGGGAAGAGAATGCAGTGTGGCCATCCCTCCCTAGGGAATGATTTCTCACTTTCTCCTTCTCTCTGCATGTGTCTCTCTCTCTCTCTCTCTATGGCAAAAGTCTGGAAAAAAAATTAAATAATAAATAAACAAATTCTGTTGCTTCAAATAGAATGCTGAAGTAAAATAGCTAGGATGATATCTGACCCACATAAGTGTCTTAATAAGGATTTGTTGGGACCAGTACTTGGCGTAATGGCTATGTTGCTGGACTCCCATGTAGTTGACCGCAATTCGAGTCCCGGACCTGGTGGCTTAAACTCACACCAGGTGCATGTGCATGCATGCCCAAGATTCCCAGAGGAGAATGGAGGACAAGGGATTGCAGCATGGCCATTCCCCCTGGGGGGTGATTTCTTGCTTTCAAAATCTCTGTGTCTTTCTGGTGAGCACATGCACTCTATAGCACAAATCTCTCAAAAAAATAAAAAATAACAAATAATAAATAAGGATCTGTTTACAAAAATTCTCTGAAGCTATATTGATAGAAATATTACATATTTTGGGGGGAGAGGGGTTATAAGCCAGAGGGCATGTGTACTAGTCAGAGAGAGACAGAGACAGGGAGAGGGAGAAAGTACCTTCTAATGGGGCATGGTCATACTGAAATTTCTCCTTCATTTCTTTTTTTGAAGAGGTCTTTGCTATAGGGCGCATGCGCTCACCAGCTAGACAGAGACAGAGACAGAAAATGAAAAATCACCCCCCGGGGGGATGGCCACGCCGCAATCCCTTCTCCTCCGTTCTCCTCTTAGGATCTTGGGCACACACGCACATGCGCCCAGCCTGAGTTTTAAGCCACCGGGTCCGGGACACGAACAGCGCTCGTCTACATGGGAGTCCAGTGACATAGCCATTACGCTAACTGCTGGTCCCTCTCCTTCATTTCTTTATCCCATCAGAATTTTGGGCACACACACCCATGTATGGTATGCTTTTCAAGTCTCAAGGGCTAATACTCAAGCCACAGTCGGTCATGCAGGATCTCGCTCCTTAACTACTAGACCACGCAACTAGCCCAAAATATTAGATAGTTTCAAAAGATTAAAAGCTTAATATAGAGGAGACTAAGCAAGTTACTTGAAAGATAAATCATTCCCTTCCTTTTAAATTTCTCATCAATGGGAACCAGCAGTTAGCGTAATGGCTATGTCACTGGACTCCCACGTAGTCGATCGTGGTTCACGTCCTGGACCTGGTGGCTTAAACTCACACCGGGTGCGTGTGCGTGCGTGCCCAAGATCCCGAGAGGAGAATGGAAGAGAAGGGATTGCAACGTAACCATCCCCCTGAGGGGTGATTTCTCGCTTTCTGTCTCTCTGTTTCTCGTCGGGCGAGCGCACGGGCCCTAAAGCAAAAAAAAAACCCCTCCAAAAAAAAAAAAAAATTTCTCATCGACTCTAGAACCTAAGACAATACTTTCCAGTGCTTAAGAAGAAATTATTTTATCAATGTGAGCATGAAATTTCACGTTCAGCTGCTTAAAGACTCAAAAGTTTACCTTGCATATATGTTTTCTGTACATTTGTTTGAGGACAGACACGCTACAACAAAACTAAAATATAATCCAAGAAGGGAAAGACAAGAGATCAAGAAAATTCAGTTCAGTGAAAACCGTTCCTGAAAGCAGGTGTGAAACAGGAACAGAAAGCAATCAGTACAGCTACCCCGACTTCTAATGTATGTGCTGAGTCAGCTGGAAGATCTCCATAATATAAAGAAAACGGCTTGTAGAAAGAGGCCGAATAGGAGACCAGCAGGTGGTACAGTGGTTAAAGCGCTGGACTCCCACATAGCCAGCACTGATCAAGTCCCAGACCCAGTGGCTTGAAACTCACGCTGGGCACGTGTGTGTGCATGCCCAAGATTCTAAGAGGAGAATGGAGAAGGGACTGTGGTATGGCCATCCTCTCTGGGAGGTGATTTCTCACTTTCCCTCTCATTGTCTCTCTCTCTAGTGAGGGCACCTTCAAAGAAGCAGGGCAAGGTAATTAGAACTCCAGAGACAATAAATCATAAAACAAAGTCTAGGCAAAATTATAAAAAATGTAAATGTGGCATGATTCAAAGAAATTAATAGAATATGACATTCCATTTGATATTCTAGTTGGCAAAATGTATTGATATAAGAGTTTAATTCTTCTTTATCAATCTATTCATTAGACATGATGATATATTTATGACTCAAAACTTGATAAGTACCTTTTATCACTTTCTAATTTTCAGAATCATCTAATATTTAACACAGGAAAAATATAACATTTGTTTTGTTTTTCTTGAGAGAGGGATTTTTGCTATAGGGAGTGTGCACTTTCCAGAGAGACAGAGAGAAAGCGAGAAATCACTCCCCAGGAGAAGGGCCATGCCACAATCCCTTTTCCTCCATTCTCCTCTCGGGTTTTGGGCACACACATGTGTCTGGCATGAGTTTTGAGCTGCCAAGTCTGGGACTAGAACCATGGTCAACTTCATGGATGTCCAGCAACATAACATTTTGCCATCTGCTGATCCCCAATAACAATAGTTCTTGTGCACAACTATTATAAACTTTAACAATGAAAATATGTTTTCATTAATAGGCATCAAGAAATAAAAGAGGTAAGATACAAAGCTATGTGATAAGGCCCTTAATTATTATTATTATTATTATCACATAGTTAAAAGTACAGTGTTTCCTATCTATGGTTCACAGACAAAGGAACAGATTTTGAGTATATTATTTTAAATGTTTACAAAGTTTTACTTATCTTACTTTTTTATTTTTGGAATGTCTTTTCTCTGAAAGTCACTGGGAAAAACAAATTTTATTCCACAGATGCCATTCCTGTCACATTTCCCCAAATCAACTCAAAAGGATCTCTCGATCTCTCTCTCTCTCTCTCCCTCATCCTCTCTCATAAGTGCTTGTAAGTTATCATTTTATCATCCGTTGCAGTCTGACTTGCATATTATGTCTGATGTCATTTTAATATCACCCAACTAAAATGTTAACTTTAGTAAAACCTTTATCAAATTCATCCCTACCATAGCAGCAAGCATAATCTCTCTTAGGACTGCCTTGATAGCTTTTAATAACAAATAGTAGAATTAAAAATATAAATAAAGGCAAAATAACAAGGACAAAACAATAGTTAACTGTCTCACACAGATCCAGTACACTTGTGGTTTAACCAAAACTGAGATGATTTTAATCATTCAAGTACCTGTACTAGAAAGTGAGCTCCATTTTGAAGAAATGCATCATTTCTTATTGGTAATTTTGTAGTGATGAGAGTTTTTCGTTCCGGAAAAAGGAGAGTATTTGCCCTGGATACATTTAAGATGCCATCTTTTGCTCGTAAGGGATCCAAAGTTCCAGCAGGAACATAAAGTGCAGAGTAAAGCACCCTCACATCTCCTTTTGTTCCTCCTAGTCTTGTAAAACTCAAGGATAAATATCGTTCACCTGGGCTGCTTTCAATCTTCTGGTTTTCCATAGGAAAAAATGTTATTAGGCCATAAACATCATCACTATCCTGAATGTAAAACAAAAGCTGCAGAAAAAAATAAAACATTAAAGTACAGTACTCTCACACCTAAGTATCAAGCTCTATATTTTCTGAGCTATTTTGATGTTTAATATGTATTTATTAGGTTGTCAGAAAAGTCAGGATGCATTTTCATTTTCCTATGCAAAAATGCATCCTGACTTTTCCGACAACCCAATACGTATCATGTCTAAAACTGATCACTTCTTATATGTAATTAAGGCTGAAACGAAATCAGATTCGAACACTTCCCTAAATCATAGTTTGCAGAATTTTTTTAGAGAAAAATGTTTATTTGCAGAAGGGACAATATTAAGCAAGAAGAGTAACCATTTCCAAAGCAGTGATCCTCCTGTCCCATCAAACTAAGCATGAATTAATTGATTAGTATGATCCAATTCTTCAACTCCTCTATAGCACAGAAACAACCACAAGAATGAAGCATAGCTGGGACCAGCAGTTAGTGTAGTGGCTATGTCGCTGGACTCCCACGTAGTCGACCACGGTTCGAGTCTCGGACCCGGTGGCTTAAACTCACGCCGGGCACGTGTGCCTGCGTGCCCAGGATCCCGAGAGGAGAATGGAGGAGAAGGGATTGTGGTGTGGCCATCCACCCTGGGGGGTGATTTCCTGCTTTCTGTCTCTCTGTTTCTCTCTGTCTGTCTGGCAAGCGCATGTGCCCTATAGCAAAAAACTCTTCAAAAAAAGAAAAAAAAAAAGAATGAAGCATAGCAAGAGACCCACCTCTGCAGGTTCGCTCACTTCTGCACCTCCTCGAATCGTATGAGGTAGAATTTGAAGCAGATAAGCTTCTGCCTCTTCTGGAAGATCATCATTAACAACGGTCAGAGGAATTGATGTCAGCATCTGCCCTTGGGCAAAATGGAGAACTCCAGAACTTGGTCTGATATCTGCTGTTACTGGTGAGGGATCACTGCTGTTTCGGGTCAGCACCCAGTTCACAGAAACATTCCCGTGGGTGCCGCCATTTCTAACCACGGTAATTTCTTCAAATCTGGAATTTTCAAAAAGAAAGACATATTGTCACAGAACACATTTTATTTCCCACAGATAGGTTTCCCTATGTCAAGATGGCCATCAGACATGGGTAAAAGCAAAATCCACATTACAAAAAATAATCGATTTTGATATGAAGGAGTAAATATGCAATGTGTCCTAGAAAACCATCATAATATATTCATGTGCATAATTAAATCACAAAACAAAAAGCTTAAAAAATAAGTGAATCCCTGGTAGAGAAAATGACACACACTTTTAAACAGTGCAGTGTTGAGCCTAGCATCACAAAAACTAAATCTTGTAATAATTTATTAAAGTGATTCTAGGGACCAGCAGATGGCATAGCGGTTGTACCATTGCTGGACTCCCACATGGCAGACCACAGTTTGAGTTCTGGACTTTGTGGCTTGAGAATCATGTGCAGGTGTGCCCAGGATCCTGGGAGGAGAATGGAGAAGGGCTTGCAGCATGGCCGTCCTTCTTGGGGCGGTGATTTCTCCCTTTCCTTCTCACTGTCTCTGTCTCTCTCTCCCTAAGGCACTGCCCTAAGGCAAAAACCTCAACAACAACAAAGAAGTAATTCTGGCAACACATTTCAAATAAATCATACCTCGATACTGTATCTTCATCGATGATAACTGTCCTTTCAAACAAGATACTATTGAATGAGAGGACCCCATAAGGTTTGTCATTTGGCTTAATGGTGACTTGCACAGTAGCAGGTGCAGTCAGTACGGCATCTCCCTGTAAGGTATCTTTCAGTAACATAATGTGAAATGATTCTGCAATCTCTGGTATGGTGTCATCAACTATTTGAAATTTCAGGTGAGATTCATGAATAAAAGGTGGAAAAACAATAGTTGCATTTGGCTGGAGATCAATGAAGTCTACGTTTTGCTGGGCATGCGCTGTTGAGTTCCCAGTGATAACAGCATAACCAATGGAAACTTCATATTCATCTGATCCAATCGGATTTCCATTGTGGTCCTTTCCACGAACCACTGGAATTAGAAGTATATGGTCTTCCTCTGGAACCAAATAAACACTCTGAACGAATCTCACAGGACTATCATTTTTTTTAATGATGACTTCAATGGAATTTCTAGAAGTGTTGATCTCAGCCCCTCCTTCTACATTTTTTAGTTGAATCAAAAATATTTCATCATTTTCTGGTATCTGTGAAAGGAATATAAACAGTAGGAAAACATGAGCAGTCAAAATATCTGGAAAAATACCAAAGTGTGAAAAGTAACGATATTTCTGTTTCAATACAATTAAAAATAAAAAATGTTAAATCTTTTTTTTAGAAGTGTTACATATTCTTTACTTGATAGTATACATAAACCACGCTAAAATGTCGTTCAATAAGTAAAAGGCAATGTTTTGGATATGGGGAATTCTAATTAAATTGGTAGAGTTATGACCAAATAAAGTAGACATTAGTACCTTATCTTCAGTCTTTGCCATAACAGGTTAATAAACACAAATTAAAACACACCTAATTCTACTTAGTTTTGAGAAGTGAAGGGATTTCTCCAGCATTTACATATTCATATAACAAGTTACATATAGGCCTAAATAAAACCAATCTCCAGTAGGCTTTGAGATGGCATTCACCATCTTTGCAGAAAGATGAGCATCACTAATGAATTACCAGTTATATCTTTAGAAAGGGCAAATAGTGATAACACTTACTAAACTGAAATTACAATCAGAATTTTTTTAAAAAAACCAATAATACTGATTTAACCACAAGTCAATCTTACTTAAATCAGGATTGTCCAATAAAAATATCCTGTCAGCCATTCATGGTCTGAGTTCTGGTGTAGGACATCAATTAAAATACAGTACGCATAAAAAAAAGGTGAGACATTTCTGTTTTGTCATGAATAAGGCAGTGGCCACCTCTTACTCATTAGTAGCTTTTAAAAGATAAGTTATCAAGTCTGCTCCTTCGGACTTCTTTCTAATGCCAGCAAAGATCATTTTTGTCCCAGGGATGTACTTCTTGGGATTCTCCAAATCCTCCATCAGTGTATCCTCTCCCCAAGGGATGCCTTTGTTCTTGTTGGCATCTGTGTAAGAGAACCCAAGGGCCTGACCTGTCTTCCACCCAAATAGACCATGGAGATTTGGGCCAGTCTTGTGCTTGCCTGCCTTTTCCACGGTGTGGCACTGTGCACGCTTCTGATCAAAAATCTTCTTGCCTTTCTCAACATCACCCATTTTTAATTCTCTCTTTTGTTGCTTGGGAATATAGAGTAGCCGCTCAGAAGCCAGACGACCTGCTCTCTCTAAAAAAATTTTAAAATCTTTAACTTGGGCCAGCAGTGCTTAGCATGGTGGTTAAGGCGCTGGATTCCTACATGGCCAATCACAATTTGAGTTCTGTATCCACTGACTTGAAAATCACACCAGACACACGTGCATGTGTGCCCAAAATCCCAAGAGGAGAATGAAGAAGGCACTGCAGTGTGGCCATCCCCCCTAGGGAGTTGGGGGGTGATTTCTTAGTTTCCTTCTCTCTCTCTCTCTCCTGTGAGCACACAAGTCCTATGTCAAAAACCTAAAGAAAAAACTGAAGGGAATAAATAAGAAGTCTTTTTCAGTCTCCATTTATTAAACTATCTTCCGAAAGTTAATTATGTATTTTGGATAGGGAAGGAAGAATTAATAAAGCAATGGTATGAACAGGTAATGAAGTACAGACATAATGTCTTTTCAACCTTGGTCAGTCTTCAAATAACTCTAAGGATATAAAGTAAAAATGGGGGGACCAGCAGTTAGTGTAATGGCTATGTCGCTGGACACCCACGTAGTCAACTGTGGTTCGCGTCCCAGACCCGGTGGCTTAAAAACTCACGCCGGGCGCGTGTGCGTGCATGCCCAAGATCCCGAGAGGAGAATGGAGGAGAAGGGATTTCGGCGTGACCATCCCCCCTGGGGGGGGATTTCTCGCTTTCTGTCTCTATGCCTCTCTCTGTCTGGTGAGTGCACGCGCCCTATAGCGAAAACCTCTCCAAAAAAAAAAAAAAAAGGCATAAATTCTTATCAGTTTTATCAGGTTGGCAGAGTTAGAATCAGCATTGAAAGTCTAATACCTAACAATCTGGAAAGTATATTAAGCACTTTATCAAAACTATTAGTTCTCAACTGTATCAATTATTCTTGCCTCTTCCTAAATTGTTCCTAATTTAGGAGTTAAATATTACACTAGCCAGGGACCAGCAGTTAGCGTAATGGCTATGTCACTGGACTCCCATGTAGTCGACCGCGGTTCCCATCCTGGACCCGGTGGCTTAAACTCATGCCAGGCGTGTGTGCATGCTTGCCCAAGATCCCAAGAGGAGAATGGAGGAGAAGGGATTGCGGTGTGGCCATCCCCCCCTGGGGGGGGGGGGATCTCTCGCTTTCTATCTCTCTGTCTCTCTCTGTCTGTCTGGCGAGCACGCACACCCTATAGCAAAATATTCTTAAAAAAAAATTACACTAGCCATATGATTTCCAAAGTATACATCATACCACTCTGGAGAACAGTCTATAAAGGGAATTTTAAAAGTTGTGAAAAAATAGGGACCAAAAAACCAAAAAAGAAAGAAAGTAAATACAAATAGGGACCAGCAGATGTCATAATGATTAGGTCACTTGATTCCCACATGGTGGGAACCATGGTTCGAGTTCCGGACCTGGTGCTTAAAACTCATGCCAGATACGTGTGTATGCATGCTCAATATCCTGAGAGGAGAATGGAGAAGAGATTGCAGCATGGCCATCCCCCTCAGCGGGTGATTTCCTGCTTTCTATCTCTCTCTGTCTCTTCGGTGAGCACACATGCCCCCTAGCAAATAATCTCTCTTAAAAAGAAAATGTTGCAGAAAAATAGAATTAAAGTACAAGTTCATTTTGGGACCAAAAAAAAACTGACATCCATGCAATTTTTTTACTATGCAGTCTCCCCAGACTTCTTGAACACACATCATACCTATGAGTCACTACTAAGGAAAATGCTGACACTGTTGAAGTGAGACTTTTTTTTGTTTCAGCTGCGCAGAAACCCTGGAGTTAATTTCCATTACACTGTGTAAGCTTTTTCTTTTCCTTTCTTTTCCTTTTCTTTTCTTTCTTGTAATGTATTTTATTTATCATTATTATTTTTTGTTTTAGATTTTACCACAGGACGTGTGGATTCACAGGAGAGAGAGAGGGAAAGTGAGAAGTCACTGCTGGCCAGACCGTAATCCCCTCTTCTCCACTCTCCTCTCAGGATTTGGGACTGCTGGGTCCAGGACTCAAACTGTATAGTCAGTCATGTGAGATCCAATGTCTTAACCAGCAAGCCACCTGCTGGCCTTATTTCTTTTTTTTTTTTAATTACTAGATAGTGCATGTACTTCGCAGAGAGACGGGAAGCATCCCTGAGTGGGGCATGGCCATGTCACAGTTCTCTCTCCTCTATCCATCCCAAAGTCAGGATCTTGGGCAAGCATGCACATATGCATGGCATGTTTTTCAAGCCACCAGCCAAGTTTCAAACAGTGGGTGGTCATGTGGGATCTGGCTCCCCCTGGATAGTGCTTCACCACTGCCTACGGGGCCAGCCCCCATTTGAGCTTTTCATTCACCATAAACTCTATTTTATGAATGAAAGTGAAAAAAATACATCTTTTTACCTCAATTCATCAGTATGGACATGTACAACTCAATGTGATTAAGACAAATAATAACAAGATACAGTTTAAAACAGATAGGGATTTAGAGCTAACCTATGACTGGCCATAGTTCACTAACTTTACCTAAGACTATGTTCTAGGATAATTTCAAATACTGAACACAATTTATTCAATAGTACTTGACATAAAGTTCTCTAGCATGTCTGCAATACAAGCAGATTCCTTGACCCAGTTCAGACTTTAACATTGTCCTACCTCATCATCAAGTACTGTCAAATTATATACGACAGTTGCTCTGCCAGGGGGAAAGGTGATATTTCCTTTAACTGGACTCAAATCTTCTTCAGGGGGATTTGGCCCATCCTCTACCTGCAAGAAAACACACAGTGGCATCAATAAACACAAAATATTTCACAATGTTGAGAAAGCATTATTATGACGTCAGTGTGCAAAAATGTGAAGCTTAGAGATGTTTTGCAATAATTATATTAACCTGTATGTTAAGCCTGCCCTTCTACTTAGTAGTCAAGGCATATAATCTAACTAAACATCTTGACTAAAAGGGGGGGGGTGATCTCTCGCTTTCTATCTCTCTGTCTCTCTCTGTCTGTCTGGCGAGCACGCACACCCTATAGCAAAATATTCTTAAAAAAAAATTACACTAGCCATATGATTTCCAAAGTATACATCATACCACTCTGGAGAACAGTCTATAAAGGGAATTTTAAAAGTTGTGAAAAAATAGGGACCAAAAAACCAAAAAAGAAAGAAAGTAAATACAAATAGGGACCAGCAGATGTCATAATGATTAGGTCACTTGATTCCCACATGGTGGGAACCATGGTTCGAGTTCCGGACCTGGTGCTTAAAACTCATGCCAGATACGTGTGTATGCATGCTCAATATCCTGAGAGGAGAATGGAGAAGAGATTGCAGCATGGCCATCCCCCTCAGCGGGTGATTTCCTGCTTTCTATCTCTCTCTGTCTCTTCGGTGAGCACACATGCCCCCTAGCAAATAATCTCTCTTAAAAAGAAAATGTTGCAGAAAAATAGAATTAAAGTACAAGTTCATTTTGGGACCAAAAAAAAACTGACATCCATGCAATTTTTTTACTATGCAGTCTCCCCAGACTTCTTGAACACACATCATACCTATGAGTCACTACTAAGGAAAATGCTGACACTGTTGAAGTGAGACTTTTTTTTGTTTCAGCTGCGCAGAAACCCTGGAGTTAATTTCCATTACACTGTGTAAGCTTTTTCTTTTCCTTTCTTTTCCTTTTCTTTTCTTTCTTGTAATGTATTTTATTTATCATTATTATTTTTTGTTTTAGATTTTACCACAGGACGTGTGGATTCACAGGAGAGAGAGAGGGAAAGTGAGAAGTCACTGCTGGCCAGACCGTAATCCCCTCTTCTCCACTCTCCTCTCAGGATTTGGGACTGCTGGGTCCAGGACTCAAACTGTATAGTCAGTCATGTGAGATCCAATGTCTTAACCAGCAAGCCACCTGCTGGCCTTATTTCTTTTTTTTTTTTAATTACTAGATAGTGCATGTACTTCGCAGAGAGACGGGAAGCATCCCTGAGTGGGGCATGGCCATGTCACAGTTCTCTCTCCTCTATCCATCCCAAAGTCAGGATCTTGGGCAAGCATGCACATATGCATGGCATGTTTTTCAAGCCACCAGCCAAGTTTCAAACAGTGGGTGGTCATGTGGGATCTGGCTCCCCCTGGATAGTGCTTCACCACTGCCTACGGGGCCAGCCCCCATTTGAGCTTTTCATTCACCATAAACTCTATTTTATGAATGAAAGTGAAAAAAATACATCTTTTTACCTCAATTCATCAGTATGGACATGTACAACTCAATGTGATTAAGACAAATAATAACAAGATACAGTTTAAAACAGATAGGGATTTAGAGCTAACCTATGACTGGCCATAGTTCACTAACTTTACCTAAGACTATGTTCTAGGATAATTTCAAATACTGAACACAATTTATTCAATAGTACTTGACATAAAGTTCTCTAGCATGTCTGCAATACAAGCAGATTCCTTGACCCAGTTCAGACTTTAACATTGTCCTACCTCATCATCAAGTACTGTCAAATTATATACGACAGTTGCTCTGCCAGGGGGAAAGGTGATATTTCCTTTAACTGGACTCAAATCTTCTTCAGGGGGATTTGGCCCATCCTCTACCTGCAAGAAAACACACAGTGGCATCAATAAACACAAAATATTTCACAATGTTGAGAAAGCATTATTATGACGTCAGTGTGCAAAAATGTGAAGCTTAGAGATGTTTTGCAATAATTATATTAACCTGTATGTTAAGCCTGCCCTTCTACTTAGTAGTCAAGGCATATAATCTAACTAAACATCTTGACTAAAATTGCATTCAACTACATGGTTTCTAAAGACTCTATTTTTCCCAACCACTATACTAGAGGGGAAAAAAAAAAAAAAAAAAAAAAAAACATCTATTTTCCTTTAGGGAGGAAGGAACTC